GAATGTCCATCCATGTACTGGTGGAGCTAGATATCTTGGTGCCAGTAAGGTTGTCCATCCCCTTGACAATGGGGTCATTTATTCTTGTCGTAATTGACCCAACTATTTCTATGCTTCGGGGCCAACCATCCATGTACTGTCCATGTGAGTGGTCCATTTATGAGGAGATCTCTTCCTATGTAATGTTGCTCACACAAGACTAACACATGGAAACTTGCAAAGATTCATGTAAACACTTCCATTTTTGCCTCTCAATTAAGGCCTTTAAGTGTCTCCTGTCCATTGCTTACTCATTTAATCTTGGAAGGGCTGGGGGCTCCTGAAGACAGGGGAAGCCTTCGCCCTCTGCCCAGGTGATGAGAGTCATTTCCTCTGCTACAGGACTGACAGCTCCTTCAGCTTCATGGCATTCTTCTTCACCTTCATGGCCCAGCTGGTCATCAGCATCATCCAGGCCGTGGGCATCCCAGGCTGGGGCGTCTGGTAAGAGATTGGGGTGTCTGGGATGGACCCAGGGCTGGCATGGGTGGCACCTTGGGTGTGTCCTTTGTTTATGTCTGTGTGTTAGCTGCTTGGCCTGCAAGAGGATTCAGGGTAGGGTAGTAGACACAGGCACAGCAGCAGAGGGGAAGGAGAACCTTGCAGTAGTTTTGGGGGGTTTCCTGGGGTGTCAAGCATCACGGGAGAACCCAAGGGAAGGAAGCCTTATGTCTGAGGAGCTTGTCTCCTGAGCCATGGGAAAGGATTCTTCTGAACCACTGCCACAGGCCAGTTGGCTCATCTCTTTGCATCCGATGATATGGCCCTTCCCCGGGACAATGAGATGGCTCCTGGCTGTGGTGGGGGGGCTCCCGGTTACCCCTCAACATGCCGGCAGCCCCACAGCTGGCCTCTTCCTGCAGCGGCTGGATTGCTACCATCTCCTTCTTCGGAACAAACGTTGGCTCAGCAGTGGTGATGCTCATTCCCACCATTATGTTCACGGTTGTGGCTGTGTTTTCCTTCATCGCCCTCAGCATGGTATGTGCAAGGTTGAGAGGGTGGCTTTGGGAAGGGGCTACAATCTGTAACAACCCCTCCTCCAAGTTACAGGAGGACCCGGAGGTCTTCCAAGGGACTCACTCTAGAATGGCTTGGTGGACTTTGCTCCTAATACACAGGCGGGTGTGGGAGGGAGGATTGGCACTTACAGGGACTTGTCTCTGGTGTCCAGGTCTTTCCTGGATGGGCTTGTCCTTCCCTTTGATTAATCCTTCCTTGTGCTTCTCCTCCTACAGGTTCATAAATTCTACCGGGGCAGTGGGGGGAGTTTCAGCAAAGCTCAGGAGGAGTGGACCACAGGGGCATGGAAGAACCCACACGTGCAGCAGGCGGCCCAGAATGCAGCCATGGGGGCGGCCCAGGGTGCCATGAATCAGCCGCAGACTCAGTATTCCGCCACCCCCAACTACACATACTCCAATGAGATGTGAGCCAGCCAAGCCTACCAGGAGGGCAGGGCTGGGGGTCCGTGGGACAGGGACTCAAGCCACATTGTCTGTTGTGGTGACCAAGCAGGGTTCCTTCCTCCCTTTTCTCCTCCCCAACTTTGTACAAAGAATCAGATATATATATATATATATATATATATATATATATATATATATATATATGTATATGTATATGTCTTCCCCCTTCCCCCGCTCCTTCGGATTCTGCTCTCAGTACTCTGAGAGCTGTGGGCTGCACGTGGAGCTGTCCCGTGCGCTGGTAGCTATGTCCGTGTCCCCTTGTGAATAGTATGCAGTGGAGGTCTCTGTTGTTGTGGTGCTAGATGTATGTTTAGAACTAAACCAGCCCCCACCCTCCACCAGGGTGCCCCCTCTGACCTTGGCCCAGGGACTCCTCATGGACCAGGGGGAGGCATAGCAGAAAGCCTGGCCCCCTCCCCAGGGTTATGAACTGAAACTGTCTCCACTTTTGGTCTCACTGGGAAGCAACAGTATTTAGCACTCATGGGGGTGGTAGGTAGGAGGGTGGGGACAGGCCAGGGATCTTCCTTTGCTCCTTCTGATCTGGTTTCCTCCCCCTCCTTCCCCTCCCTCCTCTCCTCTTGGTGTCAGATTCTCTGTGGCTTCTTTTCTTGCCCAGGGTCTCTCTCTTCCCCATGTGGCTTTTCTTTGTCTTCCCCAAGGCTGAGTGTCCCAGTTGTATATGCTTCTGAGACTGAGCCCATTCTCAGATCAAGGAAGTAGACAGGAGCTGAGCCTTAGGTGTGATGTGGGAGGGCACACAGCTAGAGATGCACAGCCCATCTCGGTACCCGACTCCCAGGGAGTGGAAATGCAGGGTCATCTCAGAGCTTGGCCTGCAGGGGAAGGGGGGCTCCTCTCTTTTCTGTCCTGCTTCCCCTCCTCTTCCCAGAGCCCCCTTGAATCCCTCTGCCGATGTTCCTCCCCACACCCTCAGCTGCTAGCCTACCCGCATCCCATGCTAGGTGGCATCTGCCATCTGTGAGGGCTGATTCCACTGCCTTCTCTGAAGAGCTGGGTGGTGTCCACGTAATTTTCAGGTATAAAGGTACAGCTCGAGCAGAGAGTATGTAAATAATTATTTGTCCCTGAGTGAGATCTGACTGGCCCAAGCCCACTGGGCAAGTACTAGGTATCTCTGAATGACCGACCTCTGGATTCCTGAGAGCAGATAGCTGTTCTTCTTGGGTCTGGTGGAGGGGCAGGCTCAGAGGGCTGGGCCTGGAGGGAAGATTGGGGGAGAAGGCAGGCAGGGCTCAGGGAGAGGAGAGCCTGCCTCCTCCCACCCTAGCTTGCTTTTGGTCACAGAACAGTTCTGGGCACTTGAACTCGGCCCAGGAAGAAGCACATGCCCAATCCTATCCATAAGCACAATGGCTGGAATGGGATTTCAGGTTAGGTGGGGTGGGAGGGGAAGCCTCTGATTTTTTTTTTTCCCAAATCAAGATTACCTACTCCCGTCTGCCTATTAGACTTGGTTTTTGGCCCTTCCTCACCCTGTCAGAACCCCCTTTCCCTTGCAGGATAGTGATTTAAGGCCTGTGGGGCTGTTCTGTTCCAAGCATTGTGAAAATGTCACTGGTAGAAGTCCTGGCTCTTTCTGAGGCCCGGAGGGAGTGGATTCTCACCCAAGGAGCAGTTGCCTGTTTTTCATCTTCCCTTCTGCCTGGGCTATTTGGCCTGAAAATTTTGGCCAACCTCGCTTGGTCACTCTGGGCTGGCTCCAGCTTGGAACCTAACACCTGGGCTTCCAGGTGCCATCTTGAGCTTTGAGCTCCAGGCACTTCATTTTCCTGTAAGGGGAGCCAAGTCCTCTGAAAAGTTCTCTTCCTAATGGTCCCTTACACTTGGGCCAGAGTCTGCTTGACTCTCTGCTCTACCACTTTCTCTCCAGAAAGCAGTTATCTCAGCCTCTAGTACCTAAAAAGAGACCCTAGGTCTAGGTTTTCTTTACCTTTCCTTTCCCCTACCCTAGACCTCTGGCTCCCTTTCTCATAGTGTGTCTGGTAGCTCCAGGAGGCCTGTGGTAGTGCTCACTCACTCCTGTTGGATGCCACCTGTAGTCAGTTTCCTGTCCTACCTGCCTCTCTTTCCTGGCCTAGACCTATATGGCCATGCCCTAGCTCTGCTCTTGGGAAGGCCTGATACCTGTATGTGACCCAGCTTGTCCAGGCCCTGGGATGCTGCATCTCCAGGCAACTATGCACTTTCCTAGGGAGGGAACCAGTATGAGAAGTGGGGGCTGGGCATGAATTCATCTCCGCTGGATGGTCTGTCTTGGGGGTGTGGTGGAGGAAGGCCCAGGTCACTTTTGGGAATCCTCAGGTCTGGCCAGCCAGTGACCTGTTTTCGCATTTTGCTGGTGCCTCCTGCTCCCCCTTGTTTCTAGGAGACACAGACCATTGTCCAACTGGCAGTTGACCTGCCTGAGCTAATGTCTGTCTGTGGTAACTGAGTGAACCTTAATAAAGGGGAACATTTGGCCCTGTGTGTCCTGCTGCGTCATGTGTCTTCATGTGGGCCTGTGTGGAGCCTCACTGTGGGCTGTGGGGCTTGGGGGTAGGGTAGGGTGGGTCAAGTGGGTCTGTGGCCTGTCATTCCCCGGCGCCAAAAGTCACACACCTCTGTGTGATTCCTTCTGAGGCAGCCTTGAGTCGGCCTCCTGCCACAAAGGCTCCTGCCTGTTAGGAGTTCTGAGTTGCCTGAGGAGGAAGTAGAAGGCTGGATTAATGGGTGAGGGGTGGTTTGGTCCAGATGGTCGCTGCAGGCAAGGGCAAGAGTAGAACACAGAAGACCCCCACCTCAGCTCTCATTGATGGAGACTGGCAGCAGATTCAGCAGCCTCAACAAACAGGGCTTGTGGGGGTCTCGATGCTGGAGAATGAAGAAGGCAGCGAAGTGTACCCAATATGCTTTCTCCTGCTGCTTTCCTTTTGCCAATTCTGTGCCCTCCATTTGTATTGCTGTGCTGACACTTTAAGCTTCTGGTCATCCTTCAAGATTTCAGCTTGAGTGACTCCTCTGAGAGGGCTTCCCTGCCTCTCGTTTGGTCCCTCTGCTCCCTCATGGAGGATCTATTCTGTAATTTCCTGTCCCCCGGCCAGTCTGAAGAGCAGGGAGGAGTCTGATTTAGCTCCGTATCCTGTGCATTTAAAACATAGGAGAGGCTCGGCAAATGTTCAGTATAAAGTGTCCCAATGATGGGCATTGTGTATGTGTGGGATGAGGGTGTGGGGTGAGGAGGTGAGACAATTAGGCTAGACCCAGAAGAGGGCACCAGCACTAAGAACGGCAGGATTCTCCCGAGTGGACTACAACTACCAGGAGGCAGATACATAGACTACAGCTCCCAGAAGGCTGCGCGACATGTAGGCAGCCGGGCGCCCTCGTGAGACTACGTGCTAGGCGGAAACGGCGGAAACAGCGGAAGGGGTGGCTGAGATATCGCGATATTTGGGGCTGCCCGAGACGCGCCAGGCGTGGGTGAGGAGTCTAGGGGTCTTTGGAGGTTGTGTCCTCTTGGCCCGGCGGTAGGGAGGCCCTGGGAGCTTCGCCGACTGTCGGTCCGCGACTATTTATGCGTGACCTCACTTTGGCCCGCGCGCGCGTGTGTATGTGTGTGAAGGTTGTGGGTCCGCGGGGGTGTGTGACCTCAGTTTCCTATCAGTGCCCGTGAAGCTCAGCTTGCCACTGTGGGTTGGCGGCTGTGTCTGTGTGGGGACTGTTGCGCCTTTGGGACTGTACTCACCTGTGTGCCGGCGCATTTGGGACCGCTTCCTCGCTCGAGTCTGGAGTGGGGGATTTGTATCTGTGTGTTCCCACCCCTGCTTTGTGCCGCCCTGCGATTGTTCAGTGCCTTTTTAAACTAGTTTAAAAGGTGGCCCCATCAGTTCCCCTTATTTTAAAAACGGTAAAATAGAAAAAAGAAAGCCTTGGTATGTTGGAATTGTATCCTCTAGATCCGCCTAAAAGTGCTGATGGTTTTTAAAAATTAGAATGAGGCTAAATTTTACCAGAGAAAAACTTTTCTCGTCCTTTAGAGGCCTGTACCAGGCGATAAACAGGAGAGATTGCTATAGTCGGAGAATTGGTGAATGTTTTGGGAGTCGGGTGTTTTCCCCACGTTTCTCGCAGTGGCTGTAACTACCTTGAAGTAGCCAGTGTGTGTGCATGTGTGTGTGTGAATATGATACTTAGTTAACATTTTATATGGTATATATTAGTATATAATATATAATATACAATATATAATACAAATATGTATAAAATATGTATAATATATGTGTATATCCCCAACATGTGGGCTTGAGGAGGAGTGCCTAAGCTGGATTGCAGAAGCTGCAGAGTCAAGCATGCCTGCCTCTAGCGAGAGAGGAGCAGTTTTAGCAGAATGCCAAGGTCTTGAGCTCTCTCCTGAGTTCCTTGCCTTACCTTGGGGACAGGGATTTAAAGTACCCCGTGGCCTTTTAATGTCTTTGGATTTGGGGGCAGGGTGACATTTTGGGGAGCTAGAAGTTCCTCATTATTAGGAGGGCAGAATAGAGTGTGTTGACTGGTGGAAGATAGGGCCAGAGCAAAAGCCTGGGGCCAGGAGTGAGGGGCTTTAACGTTAGGCTAAAGATTATAAGCTCTTAATGGATCCTGGATCCCTGTTCCCCCACCCCCCATGTTTGGTTCTGCTTTGTCCTAGGCCCCAGGCCCTCACTGTTCCTGTGTTGGGCAGTGTTTGTACTGTCTGGCCCTTTTTTAACCCTGGTTCTGTGTGGCTTCACACATGCCCCTATTGTGACTGGCAGGTATTCCTGAAACCTTTACTTAACTTTGCCCTAATTAAGCTCATCAGAGGAGGTTTACACATCACAAGCTTGCCACAAGCAAGCTCTGGCTCTGCCTTTTTTTTTTTTTTTTTGAGAGAGCGCACACGCATGAGCAGGCAGGGGAGGGACAGAGGGAGAGAGAATCTTAAGCAGTTTATGCTCACGTGTAGCATGATGTGGGACTCGACGTGGGGCTCGATCTCACGACCCTGAGATCATGACCTGAGCCAAAACCAAGAGTCCCACACTTAACCTACTGAGCCACCCAGGAACCACTGTCTGGTCCTGTCTTTATAAGGAGTAGAGAACCTGCCATTTTTCTGGCTGTGACTTACCTGCATGACTGGTGTCCTGGGAGCTTAAGGCTCAGTAATCATAGCCTTCAGCCCTTATAACCTCTCTGCATGCTAACTCTTCCTGCTGCTAAAGAGTTCTCCAGCAAAGCCCAGAAAAATCAGGCACTATCTACAGCACCTTGGCTGTGCAAGTAGGCGGTTCTAACAGGAACGGCCTAGAGTAACAGACTTACTGGTTTGGGATTTGATCTTTTTTGAACGTAAACATAAAGAACTGCCAGCTATCACACTTCACAAGACTGTTAGGTTGAACCAATTTGACCTTGCTTTCAAATGTTTGTTAGATTACCCACTTTCTGTTATTCAAGTACCTATGTCCCCCACCCCCAACACCCAGCCCACACTCACTTTTCTCTAAAGGTAGGTAGGCTTTGGTCCTTAGCAAGTCTTGCTCATCAGGCTAAGTTGTAAATCTTGGGCTATATCACCTACTGTGGGGAAGTAATTGAAATCCCCAACATAGCTTCATGCCCTAGGTTTTTATTTATTTATTTATTTATTTATTTATTCATTCATTCATTCATTCATTCATTCAATCAATCAATCAATCGAGCGCCCGAACAGGGATAGGAGCAGAGGGAGAGGATGAGAGAATCCTCAAGCAGACTCCCTGCTGAGTGTGGAGCCTGACTTGGGGCTTGATCCCAGGACCCTGAGATCATGCCCTGAGCTGAAATCAAGAGTTGGCCGCTTAACCAACTGAGCCACCCAGGCCGCCCCGTGCCCTCAGTTTAACTGATTGCTTTCAGTAACCAGTTCCTTAGGAATGATATCAGCTTGATGTAGAGGAGATTTAGGGCCTGCAGAGATGAAGTTCAGCCTCTGGTTTGGCAGGAATCTCCCTGTCCTGGCACCAGTTAGCTGGGGTGGGATAGGGTCAGGGTTTGCGCTCTGGTAGGTAGGTTTCCCTGGAGAATCAAGAATATGCCTCCCTCACCTACTGAGGGTGCTAATCAGCATGCTGATCTGGGAAGGGGCTGACTGGTAGGCCCTCTAGATCCTGCCAGTTGCCAACAGGGCTCACCAAGCCCTCGAGTAGACTCATTTGTGCTCTGGGCAAGCATGGCCCTGGCTGAGGCCCTGATGTAGAGCAGAGACTGAAACGGAGCTGGCAAACAGAACTTTGGGGGAGTCTTGCTTTAGGGAACTGGTCTGTGCTTAACTCCTGCTGATTGTCTCCTGGGTCTGGGCATCTAGGATCTTTCCGGGTAGGAGTGGGATAATAGATCCAAATAGGATCCTCAGCTCATGTGGGTGTGTGCCTGAGTCTTGAAGGCAAATACTGGGCAGAGAGGCCCTCGGAAACCAAGGAGCCTCTGGAGTGAAGAGGAAGCCCTTATGGGTGTGCAGCCACGGACGTAGCCACTGGGTGATTCACAGATAACTTCCTCCTTGGGGTTTGCCTTGGTTTCCCCTCCCACTGCTGATTCTGCCCATTTTGAGTGCATCTTCCAGGACTCTTGTACAGAGAGCTCTTAACTGGTGTCTTTCATACATTGACTCAGAGGTTTCTACTGGAAGGAGCTTCAGAGATCACCTGGTCCTACCTCTGTATTTTTCAGATGAAGAGACAGGTCCAGGGAGGGAAGTACCCTGGGCCAAGGTCACACACCAGCTCAGGAACACAACCATGGACAGGGCCCAGGGCTCCTGATGTACCAGCCAGGCTTCTGTGCCAGTGTCTTGTGCCCCACACCTCACCCTGCTTCAGAAGGTACAGTTTATTATTCCTCCAGCAGAGGTTCAGGACCCACCAGGTGCCTGGCTCTTGGTGATCGGACCTGGTCACACATTCAGGGAGCTTGCTGGTGGCAGTGGTGGTGGTGGGAAGGTGGAGAGGGAGAGGCAAGGAAACAGGAACAGTGGAATCACTTATTACCAGACAGTTGTATCCCAGAGAAGGGCCCATCTCAAATGATTTTAGGTGTGACTCTTCACAACTCATATACAGATACCCCAAAGACAGTGGCATGTCTTGCACAATTCTTTGCCCAGTGCTAGATGTCATTAGTCCTCAGTGATTGTTGCTGATGGAGTAGGTACATTTTGCTGACCCAGCTTGCAGAGTGTAGGTTTTGGTGTGTCCGTCAGCTATATTATCTCGGGCACTCCTAGCAACATCTGAGGGCCAGAGGAAGAAACCAAGCATCTGGTCCCATGGGGGTGTCCAACATCCCCTTTAATGCTTGTTCCTTCTGGGCTTGGATTTGCAGAGTGGTGTCCAGTTTGATCTAAAGGGACGGTGACAGAGAGGCAAATGTTTCTACTCCCTAGATCACCCAAGTCCTGTTGCCTAGGGTTTACCACCTCTCAGGTGTCCCTGAACCCGTGCCATCCTGCTACTCCTTTCAGTCAGTCCAGCCTCCTCCCATCTCCACCTCCAGGGCCCCGTCCATACTTGGCACAAGGACTATCTTTCTAAAATGAAAACTCACCTTGGCCTTCACCGCTCTTGACAGTGCCCTTGACCCGATTGCAACCTTACCTCCTGCCACCCCCTACCTCCCATCACCCTTTAGCCTCACTCCTAAGCTGCTCGTTGTTCCCCAAACCTGCCACCCTCAGGCCTCTTCACCTTGGTGGGATTATTCCTTCTTGCATGGTTATTTCCTTCTTTCTCTGGGAAGCGTACTGGTCCTTCAGACTCAAACTGAATGTCCTTGTTTGGGTCTCTGACTTCCTCAGACAGTTACTCCTGGGCAGCCAAGGCCCCCGGTATGGACCTTCCTCACAGCACTGGGCCATATTACATGGTACCTGACCTCATCAAATCGTGTGCTCCCAGCCGCTGGGACTGCTCACCCCTCAGTAACCCGAGTATCTGGCCCAGGGTACTCAAGACAGTTTGGTCGAACGTATGAATGAAGTGGGTGCCCCTTACTCTGCTTTTTGATTTTAAGTCCTGACAGAGCTGTGTGGAGGCCGTCCTGGCAGGCTCCCGGGATTCGAAGCCATTAGACCCCACATGGAATCCAGTGCCTCAAGTCCGGCTGCTGCACCCTTGGTGAAGAGACAGTTCCATGTTCTCGTGGGTGTCACTGGGAGTGTTGCAGCCCTGAAGTTGCCTCTTCTGGTGTCTAGGCTTTTGGACATTCCTGGTGTGAGTATGCTTTTTAGACAGCGTAGCAGTCTGATGGTGGAGAGCTGCCATTCCTGGGGCTGGCCCATTTTTATGCAGTGCATGGGGTTTTTTGTTAATGGTGGTGTTTGTGGAAGCCCTCTGTGTGCATTAGTTTGTAGGGGAGGCAGGAGATAGTCCAGTATAACCGGAAACTAGATGAGAGGGTGTGGACAGTGTGAGGGGAGACTGGGAAAGGAACGCTTGGCTGAATAGAGGGTTTGGGTTCCCAGATGCTGATCCTGGTTCCCCAAGGTGCTGGTGTGGGAGGAGGGCTGGCTGGAGAAATGCAGCACAGTTGCGGTCTCCCCTTGCTGCCTTGGGCACCCCACCCCCGTTTCATCTTGAACACTGCGGCTCTCTTCTCCCTCCTTGTTAGACACCGTGACTGTCCTGTCGGTCCAGATGCACTGGGATGTCAGGGGTACCCCATTGCCTGCGGCTCTGGTTTCAAACTGCTCCTTCAGGTGTTCAGAGATGCCCAGGGTCCTCCACAGTGTATACATCAAAATGTACCTCCATTTTGATCAATTTTATATATTTGTATATATTTTTATATAGTAGGGTCCTGGAGCAAATTCTTCGGGAAAAGTTCAAGGCTTTAAACAATGTGAAATCCAGCAGGTATTGACCTCATTTCCTTGTCTGGTCTCTAAGGTCTGTTGAACTCTCACTGCCTACACTCCAATGGCCTTTGCTTTGGCCTGGTCCCTGCCAGGCTGTGCTGCCCTCCTATTCCTCTGCCTCTCTAAATTCTGCCCAAACACTTTACAAGAAAGCCTTCCTGGCCTGCTTCAGCCCATGTGGCATTGTTCCTTTCCTTTTAAAACTCATTTGATGAGGGGCACCTGGCTGGCTCAGTTGGTAGAGCATGCGACTCTTGATCTCCAGGTTGTGAGTTCGAGCCCCACATTGGGCATAGAATTTACTTAAATAAAATACCTAAAAAAAAGAAAACAAAACTCATTTGTTGTATTATTATTTTTAAAGATTTTCTTTACTTATTTCAGAGAGAGAGAGCACAGAGGGAGAAGCAGGCTCCCCACTGAGCAGAGAGCCTGATGTAGGACTCGATCCCAGGACCCTGAGATCATGACCTGAGCCAAAAGCAGACGCTTGACTGAGCCACCCAGGTGCCCTCATTTGATGTATTAAAGAAAAACCTGAGATGGGCAGTAAAGTGGTAAAAACAGGTTTTATTAAGAAAAACTACCACAATAAGGGAAAAGAGACCTCAGCAGAGAACTGGGCTTGATTCCAAATACAACAGGGAAAAGTGGGGGTTTGTAGGCAAGGAGCAGGTGGAGGGCGGTGGATGGAAAATTACTAAGAGGAAATACCAGGACTAAGGGGGGTTCTGGCTAAACTGTCCTGACAGGATTCTTAGTGCAGGCAGGCCAAGGTGATCAATCATCACGTGAGGGTTGTTGAGGGATGAGGAGCCTGATGAGATATCCAGGCTGATCAGATATCGAGAGTGGGGGATTCTGGCTAAACCCACTTAACAGGAGCTTAAGGACCAGGCCCCAGGATAGGCTTAGTCAAAAAAGTGGCGCAGAGGAGCCTGAGTAGAGTTTGGTCTGGGAGAGAATCTTGACCAAGCTGTGGGGAATCTTAGGCTGTCTTTGACATTGCTCATGTTGTTGCACGTTCCTTTTGTTGGGTGCGCCACTGGGGCCCAGGCTGTGCTTTTTCCCTGTATCTATGCGTACCTTTCGCAGTGGCACAGGTGCATGTACCCAGTGTGTCCAGCAGGGGGCGGTGCTCACTTGCAGATGATCATGTCAGGACTGAAGGCAGGGGTGAGAAATCTTTTTTTTTCCTTTACTTTCCACAAACTTTCTACCCAGAAAGTCACCCCCTCACCCGACCCCTCGTGCTGGGACAAGCGGTGAAGCAGGCAGCCAGAGATGCCAGTCAGGCTAGAAGGGGGAAGGGAGGTGAGTCTCGTGGCTGCTGGGCACTGGTGCTGCTGGGCACTGGTGCTGCTGGGCAGTACTACCTGTGGCCTGCCCCACCTGTGGCCTGCCCCCTCTCCCCCGTAGGCCCAGAACCCTTGGGAGGAGCTGGCTCACTAGACCCATGAGGGCGGGAGGCCTGGAGGCCTGGAAGGGGTTTTTGCAGCAGTGACAGCCTCTGTCCCCTCGGGAGGCAGGGAGCCATGCAGTTCCCTTTTCCCATAGCAGAGCAAGTGGATTTCCGGACTGGGGGAGGAGGGGGCAGGGCGTCCTATCCCAGGAAACAGATGGGCAGCCTCAGAGCTGGGGGAAATGGCAACTCCCCCGCTTCCTGCCGTCCCGTGCAGCCAGCATTTACAGGGGTGTGAGGAAAGAGTTGCGTGAAGTAGGGAGGCTCTCCAACCCACCCCAGGCCCTGGCCCTCTGACGGGGACAGGCCTTGTCTGGAATAGGAACTTGGTTCTCTCTTGCTGGCTGGAGCCCATCTGAAAGTTAGGCAGCCAGAAGGGCACTGACCTAGGACGGAGGACTTGGAGCCTGCCTTTCTCATTTAAAATAAAGGGGATTACAACCACCCATTCCCTCAGGCTCTTGTCAAGGCTTGGGGAGGGGACACCAATGAAAGTTTGTCGTCCTGTGCCAGGAGCTGTGCTTAGCTAACAGTGTTTGTTTCCTGTCCTTCACCCTCTCCTTTTCCCTTGTCATGTCCTTTGGGCCAGCCACGTGGTGGGGTTGTTGGGGTTGGCGAGACAGCCCGTGTGGGAAGAGCTGTGGGATCCACAGTCCAGCTGCTCCCGTGGAGGGGCCCACTGCCCTCTCACTTCTTGGCCAGCTCATCCTGTAGGTAGAACAGCTCTCCGAGGAGCCTGGGTTTCCTTGGTGGAGTCCTTGTGAGACAACCAGAGGGGGACCCTTGCTTGGCCCGATGCCGTGGCCTCCCCACACTCCCTGATGGTACTGATCTCCCCATTGCCCTCTTTCTGGGTCACCCCCAGGAGCAGTCTGTCCCTTGGAATGGTCCTTCTCAGCTGCTTGCCTACATCATGGATTCACACGCTCAGGGCTTTCATGAGCTCCTGAGGCATTTCTAGATTTTGGCCAGCAGACAAGCAGCTGAAGTGTGGGCTGCGGGGAGCTGGGTGATTCTACAGATCTGGCTCATAACTGCAGGTGTACCTCATTTTATTGTGCTTTGCAGATACTGAGTTTTCTTACAAATTGAAGATTTGTGCCAACCCTGCATTGAGCAAGTCTGTTGGTGCCATTTTTCCAACAGCCTTTGCTCACTTTGTGTCACCTTTTGGTAATTCTCATAATATTTCAAACTTTTTGATTATTGTATTTGTTATGGTGATCTGTGATCAGCGATTACAACTTGCTGAAGGTTCAGATGATGATTAGCCTTTTTTTAGCAATAAACTATTTATTAAATATTTATTTTTATTTATTTTAGAGAGTGGGGGAGGGACAGAGGAAGAGAGAGTCTCAAGACCACGGGGCTGGATCTCACAACCCTGAGATCATGACCAAGAGTTGGATGCTCAGCTGACTGCACCACCCAGGCGCCCCACAATAAACCACTTTTAATTGAGGTATTGTTAGAAGTGGGGGAGGGAGAGTAAGGTATCCTCCAGCCTGAGAAGGCACTTTGAGACTGAAAAATGAGCCACTCCATTCCATTAGAGACACTTATTCAGGGGAACTTGCCGATGGGTGGGAGGGCAGGCAGGTTGGGTGGATGACGGTCCAGGCGCTGCGCAGCTATGCTCTGCCAAGTCCACACCTCAGTCTACAGCTTTTAGAGACTGAAGGGCATTGTGATGAGGTCAACGAGTCGTTCTCTAACGTGGTGCCGTCTGTGTACCACTTCAGGGAAGGTCAGAACAACCCTTCCCACATTCTGGTCAGGGCAGACATTAACCACCACAAGGCCTGAAACACACAGTCTGGAGGGAGGTCATTGCTCGGGCATGAACAAGATGGAGAGTCCAGTATGGGGTCGGTGTTGTCTGCACTCCTCCAGGCACGCGTCTTGCTTTATTTTAGACATAATGCTATTGCACACATAAGAGACTACAGTGTGGTGTAAACGTGACTTTTATATGTGCTGGGAAACCAAAAAACTTGCTTGGCTAGTTTTATTGAGATATTTGCTTTATTGCAGTGTTCTGGAACCAGACTCGCAATGTCCCAAGGTGGGCCTCTATTCCTGACTCACAAGTGTTGTCCAGGCACCCCAGGAGAGCCACTGGCTAGAGCCTGGCCAGGGAGACTGTGGAGGGGGGCAGGAGAGGGGTGGATTTGGTCTCACCTCACACACCAGCAGTCAGGCAGAGTGCCACTGCCAAGAATCCTGGGATGCTTTCTGTGGTGGTGGGGAGTTGGATAGTGGGGGCTGGCTGTACCTCAAGAGAGGCAGCCAAGCCTAGACGATTTCTCATGCTGGGATTCTGGGCAGTTCAGGTCTTCTTTATGGCCTCGATGTTCTTAGCCCTGCAATGAAGAGGGGGGGAGGCAGGTACTAAAATGAGGTCTTCAGGGCTTCTTCTGGCACTAGTCAAAGATTCTAGAGGTGAGGGCATAAAGGGATAGGACCCAAGGGCGGCCCGAGAGGAGGTCCTGGGATGCGCAAGCTTCAGGGTGTTTGCAGTTCCACAATTATCATGTAACTGGGTAGAAGTTCTGTCTGAGCACCCCCTCACTTGGATGGAGGAGACAGACGGCTCTCTAGCTTTTGCCCTGGCAGGCGTCAGCAGGGCTGCAGCCAGCGGGGCATTTCAAAAGGTGGAGGTCTCCCATTTGGGGAGCTGGCAGGACAAGTTTAAGTTTCTTTCTTTTCTTTTCTTTTCTTTCAGATTTTATGTATTTATTTGACAGAGACAGCCAAAGAGGGAACACAAGCAGGGGAAGTGGGAGAGGGAGAAGAGCAGGGAGCCTGATGCGGGGCTCAATCCCAGGACCCTGGGATCATGACCCGAGGCAAAGGCAGACGCCTAACGACTGAGCCACCCAGGCACCCCATTT